GAATTCTAAATTCAGATTTATGGAGAGTGATTCCATTACACAACCAATTTGAGGTATCCAAAATCATTTTCATCTGAGTTACTTGTGCTAATCAGATATTACCGGAGTGATTTGAGCTGATAAGGGAGAAAACATGTATTCAAAACATATACCCATTATATTGATCAATCAGATTATCAAACAACTCGAGTTACACAACTCTCAGACTAATGCATATGGACAATTCCATTCAATGTCCTTCCAGAGTATTCACTCTTTAATACTAACAGTTCTTGTCGATAAATATAATGGACTCCTATATTCTTGCTCAAATCCTCATAGTTAAAAACAGATTATCTATATTTTCCAAGCAAAACTAACATTTCTTATGCACATCAGTAGTTTCATCAGATCAAAAATCTCTTATCCAACTTCTAGAGTCAAATCTTGTCTTTTTATAACATAAGGGTATTTTCATAATTTTTACCTTACCGGAGTATTCTCATAATTTCCCATCCAAGTACCTTTAACATTTGACCTTTGATGAAATAAATTTTAAGATATATATCTAGATTGATTTCTTTATTACTAAACACAGAACTTAAAATTTAATTCTAACAATTCCTCAATTTCTTATAAAAGTCTTCTAAACCATAATCAGTTACCAAATCTATATTGTATTCGGATCGAGTGTAGAAATTAATTAACTATACAATTGAGACCAACATTATCTTATTCATGCATTTACCAATATTCACATGTTTCATAAAGCATAAAGAGGTAGTAAAGTATTACCTCGATTTCAGTGACATACTGATCGACCATAAAAATTCAATTTGAATGCCCTCGATCTTGAAATCATCTTCCAATATTTCCTCGGATCCATACCAACAAAAATTACATAAAAAACGGAGATTAATTCTGAAAAACAGAGCTTAATTCTGAAAAACGGAGCTTAATTCTGAAAAAGGGATCGAATCGGATGATAAATCAATGAAAAATAGCTTATCGGGTTCGAATTTAGCAAAACGGACTTCGGATTTAGGACGTCGAAAGCATAAAATATGACTTTTCAAAAATTTAGAATTTTTGGTCAATATCAAAGTCAACGGGTTTGACTGACAATTTTGAGGCCTTTGGGTCTGAATTTCGAAAAACAGACTGCGGAATCGGATTTGAAACGTCGAAAAACGTCAGGATAGGTATACTTGGTCAAAGTCAAAGGTCGTTTAATGCCCGGTCAAAGTTTTGGTCAACTGTGGTCAACGCCGGTCAACAGTCGACCATTTTACACAAATATCACCCTAACAGAAATTAATTACCAAATTAGCCACATTCTGTAAATATTTACCAATCTAACACCCGAATTTTACATAAATAACACCCAAACATAAATTAATTACAAAATTAACACCCAGACGATACCCACTCTCGGGGGGTGGCACGTGAACAGTAACTCGGTGTCGAAAAATTTCCGAAAAAATTTCTAAAAATTATTTTAAGCAATTTTGAGGCACTTACAAAGCTCGGTTCACAATTTTGATCGACGGACAGCTCGATTCCGAAACGTCGAAAACTTTGACAGTCTCACCCCTCCACGCGATGGCGACGACGGAGAAACGGAGAACACTGCTGGACTCGGAACGATGCAAGGAAAACGTTGGTGTGGGAGGTGTCGTAAACGAATGGTCGGATCGTCGTGAATCGATGAAAAACCAACTTAAATCGAGTTATTATCGATCATACTTCTGACTAAAATTAACGACATACGGCGACGATTCACGATGAAAGGTTTGAGGGGTTTTGTTCCTCGTTTGACAACGAACACGATGGTGGTTTTAGTTCGTCGATCGGAGGTCGGACGACGAGTAGATCGGAGTTGAAAGAAGGGTTGTTGGAGAGGAAAAACTGTAAAGAAATCTAGAAAATCATACGGGGAGGGTGGATTTATAATTCAACTCCTAATAAAAATGGGTAAACCATGAGTTTAGTCACTGAACTTCCTGTACTTCTTAAAATGGTCTACCAACTTTGTTATTTTACAATTTAATCCTCAATTGCTTCCAAAAATACCAATTAAATTCACCACTTTATAATTTCTTAAATTTATCCCCTAAATTGGGGTGTTACAGCTTTAGTGTTAGCCATCGACTATCGATATTCATTATTTTTTTTCTTTTTCCTTTTTTACTATGTTCTATCTTTTTTTTCTTATTTTTAATAACTTTACCTTTATGGCACATTTCCCCTACTTTTATAATATGTTTATTCTATTTTTTGACATGTTTTCGGTCATTTGATCATTATTTTAATTTATCCTTTTTCTCAAGGTTGTATTTGATTTCGTCGCGACTGATCAAGATGACACTTATTTGTTATCATGATGATCTTTCCTGATTTGGATCCTATGATTGGATTTGGATACATGATTTACGTTCGTGGATGGTTTTATCAAGTTGCTCAATTCTGATTTACGATTTATTGATGATATTTCAAAAGTTTGATCCCTTTTTGTGGTTTGTTTACTGATGTGGTCAAATCTATTTGTATATACCTTTTGTTCAGTTTTATTTGGTTAAGTTTTTAATCTTTTCCTTGTATGGTCCTAGTGTGATCTTAAGTGTCTAGTTTTTGTGCTAATGATCATAGAAAAATGTTCTTATTATATGTTTTAGTTTATAGTTGTGGTTGTAAACTTTCATTGTAATTTGTATGTTTTCTCATTTATAATAAATTAAAGGACTTATATTTTGCAAAAAAACTAATTTATTATTTTCTAAAATATAAAAAAAAATAATAAACACTTGTGGTATCAACTGTAAGATAAAGGGCCAGTTTGGTATAACTTTTGAAAAATGACTTTTAAAAGTGTTGTAGAAATACACCTGGCAAACTAGACCAAACTTGATTATACGATCCGATTTACTCGATATTAACCCGAACATGATGATCAATTTGATCTGAAACTCGAACCATACCCGACCCGCATCATACTTGATCCAAAATTTAGCTGACCCAATATGGACCCTTATCCAATTTGACCCGAACCGAAATTAACCTAAACCAAAAGTAACCCGAACCAAATTTAACTAGAACCGAAAACAACCCAAACTTAATTTAACTCGATCCGAAAGTAACCTAAACCAAAACTAATCCAAACAATAAGATTGAAAATATTGACAAATAAAGTTACTTATGTTAGTTATTTATAATAAAAATATTAGATTTATAATAAAAAAGAATAGGAAACAACTAAAACAAAGGAAATGATACATCAATATTAGATTTATAATAAAAATAATAGAAAATTTACTTATGTTACAACTAAAGCCTAACAAAAAAACATTTATGTATTAGTTTTTTAAAATTTAATAAAACATTAAATATTTGATTGAAACTTTTAATTGAAAATAAATTTTCTAATGAAAAATTATTTCTTTATCAAATAGTTCTCATTATAAACTTTTCGTACAAGATCAATATAAAATTTTGGTAACAAGCTCTAACACGCGTTATAAAATCATTTTTTGTGTTAAATTATCATTTCTAAATGATAGTTTAATGCAAAATATTGAACGATCGAGAATTATAATTAACCCTAAATGATAACATTAACAAACAAGAAGACATATTTTTTATAAGAATATATCAATAATTTTATATATACTTGATTTAGACTCACAATCCATTCAACTTGAATTGACATGATCCAAAAGTTGACCTAAATAATAAATTAATCGAACTGAAAATCAACTGACTTGGAATCTATCCGATCTGATATTAACCAAACTCAAAAACCAACCGATCTGATATTGATCTGAACTGAAAAATAAATGATCATATAATCATTCAACCTGAAAATTGGCCTGACCCAATACCTGACACGATTTACCAAACACACGAACTAAATCCAAATCGGATCCGATCTAATTTGAATAAAATTAAACTGAATATAATCTAGACCTGGAATTACCCGATCCGAATGACCTGTTTGCCACCTCTATGTAGAAATGGACTTTTAAAAGTGTTGTATAAAAGTGTAATTAAAATTTAACTGTTTAGGATTTCTGTTAAAAAGTGAGTTTGAAAAGATAAAATATCAATTATAGACATTATGTTGTAAATTAAAAATATAGCATTTAAATTATATTCACACTTATATATGAATCAAATCAATTTAAACTATAATGAATTTAAAAAAATATTATTATATATGAATTACATCAATTTAAACTCTAATAAGAATATAAAAAATACAAATAAAAAATAATTATAATCAAGAGATTTATATAACTCACTATTAATATTTAAATATATAAATCATGAGTTTTATTTAATTTTAAATTATTAAAATAAATTATTAAAAGTAATAAATTATTTTTAAATAATGTTAGTATTAAATTATTAAAATAAAATGTAAATACATAACTGAGTGAATCTCATGCATTAGTAAGGATAAAATTATAATTTGGTTCTAAACGCAAAATTAAAAATGAAAAAAGCCAAAAATCCTAAATTTTGTGATTTGTTTGAAACCACTATTCTCACTGTAATTTTTTTATTTTTTACTTATTTGATATTGATTTTACGATTAAAAAAACTTTTTAACTAAAAGTAATTTAGAAAACTTTATCAAAACGACAGTAAATATATAAAAAATATTATAACAACAAAAACAATTCAATTAATAGTTAGACTGATGATCAGTTATAATTTATGTCCCATTAAAATCCCAAATGTGGTGACGTATCCCACATTTTAATTTTTCAACCGACTGCTGGTGCATTCAATTCAAACTTATTTTTTTTGGATAATTTTCAATTCAAATAATAAAATAATTATTTACTTTTTCCTTTTGTAGATGGACCACTTTGACTGGCATCGATCCATATGAGAAAGGTGGGGGGCCTGAGGCAAGCAGGGGACCATCTCCCACAATTATTCTAAACTAATCATCCATAACCATAACCCCTCCTTTCTTCTCTTCTCTTCTCCACCTAAGCCTGCATTTGGCTCTTCTTTTCCCACTGTCTGCTACTGCAAATCCTCAAGCTTTTGGGTTCTTTCTTCTTCCATGGAAGAAGGTGAAATGACGATACCTCATTTATTTACATGTCCAATCAGCCTGGACTTGTTCACGGATCCTGTCACTCTATGTACTGGCCAAACCTACGACAGATCGAGCATACAAAAATGGTTAGCCGCAGGTAATCTCACATGTCCTGTTACAATGCAAAAGCTCCACGATCCATCTCTTGTTCCCAACCATAATCTTCGTCATTTGATTCAACAATGGCGTGAAATGGGTCACCGATTACACCCTGATTACTTCACAACAATCGACCCTTTAGTCTCCCTCAAACACTCCCTTTCATCTCCTTCATCAACCTTCCTAGAGAAACTACAAGCACTTCAAAAGGTCATGGACCTAACCGATGAAACAGATTCCCTTTTGATCGAAATGGGTTTCTTGCCTTTGCTTTTGAAACTGGTTTTCGAAATGGTAGACCCTGGATTCTCCCAAGACTACGTCAACTTCGTGGAGCAAGGGCTTGTTTGTGTTCTTAGGTTTCTTCCTTTGGGAGAATTGGAGTGTTTGAATATGCTTAAAGAAGGGTCAAATTTGGAATCTTTCGTGGTTCTATTCGAGCGTGGCAGTATGATGATGAAGCAAAGCTTGTGCCATATCGTGGGGCTGATTTCATCATCCTCGGCAACCAGGGAGCTTTGTAGAATGATTGGAAAAAACCAGAGATTGTTGAACATGGTCATCTGTGTTGTGAAGCAAAACAGTGAGATATCTGAGGCTGGAATCCAAGCCATTTCAGCGTTGTGTTGCTTGGAATCGAACAGGGAAAAACTGGTCCAACAGGGCCTGATCGATGGGCTGGTGACATACATTTGGAACTCGGAGAAGAAGGAGAGAAGCTTGGCGGCAATGGCGATGGCCAGAATAGAGCAAGTGCTGGGGAGCGAGAGTGCGAAAGAGGCGCTGATAAAGAATCCGAACGGCGTGAAAGCAGTGGTGAAGATGGTGTTCAGGGTGTCGGAGGAGGAAGGGAGTGAAAGCGCGGTAAACTCATTGATGAAGGTGTGTGAGGGATCGTTGGAAGCAAGGGAAAAGGCAATAGTGAGTGGAGGTTTGACGCAGTTGTTGTTGCTTCTTCAGAGCCAGTGTAGTGGTAGGACCAAAACAAAGGCCACTACATTGCTCAAGCTGCTATGAATTATGATCCATGTGGACCAAACCATGTGTTCTTTTTGGACAATTCATCTGTGTTGGGGTATTTTGTTTATATGTATATGTGCCTGTGGTGTATTGGGTAGGTTCCTTCTTCCCCTTAATGCACAAAAATGTCAATTTATGCAAGCTTGCCAATCATAAACACTCGACCCTTTGTTCAAAGAAATAATAATAAACAATCCATCCATTTAGTCAAGTCTTATCCATCTTAATTACTGCATAACCGCATAACCCCGTAGTGACAATAATCTTTTTTTTAATAATATAAGAGGATTGTAAATTAATATATTTTTGAAACTTTTTAACCTATCGATAATATATTAGGACCTTATAGACACAATTATTAGAATTGAAAAAATTTAAGAAAATTAACATCCTTTTATTATTTAAGCCACTATATCTGTCCACCCATTTATGACCATTAAAGTTTGAAACCATTTAATCTTGAAATATTGTTTTAAATTAATGTTTGTTGTACTGAACGTATAATTTCATATTTATTGATATATTATTTTTATTTTTAGAAATAAATGAAACTTATGTTCATCAAATGACAGTCTTAGCCTCCCCAACTTTATGGAAGGTTAAAGATAGATTTGAAAGTGGAAGGTAGGTAACATGTTAGCAAATGGGTGTAAACTCAATCCCCACAACTATTTCACTTTTCCTTAATTTGTACAGATAAATATGATAAATATAAATCTGTTGTGAATTCATTGAATGGTCAAAATAAATATTGTTTTCCCTAAGAGTTTTAGGTTTGAGAAATTGTATTTATAAAATATGTGTATATGATATTAATAATTAAGAAATATTTTAAACATATATTGTTAACGCAACTGGTTCTTGGGTAGAAAATCGATTATTAACATTTTTTGAAAATGGGTTATGAAAAATTGGGAGTTGCCACCAATCTTTTTTAAGATACGGTTTGAACACCTAAAATAATGTAACATTAAAAAACATTTTATTTTATCAAAAATTCTCAATTTTGGTTTGCGAAATCAAAAATCAGGTTCGAGAGTCGGTTACTCATAGGAAGGATTAGTACCCCACGGCGTCCAAAATTGGTACCTATTTGATTACCTTATATTTTAAAATTAGAAATTTTGAGTTCGAAATTTTATTTAAGTTAAATTTCACTATGAATGCAAATTTTAAAAAAGATGTTGATTTATCAAGACCAATACGGTCACCCCCAAGCAATGGTGGGGATACACCATCAATGTAACACCCTAATTTAGGGGCTAAATTTAAGAAAATATAAATTGGTGAATTTAATTGGTATTTTTGGAAGAAATCGGGGATTACATTATAAGATTTCAAAGTTGGCAGACCATTTTAAGAAGTGTAGGAAATTCAGTGGCTAAACCCATGATTTAGCCATTTTTATTTTGGAGAGAATTATAAATCTCTCCCCCTATGTTTTCTGGAAATTTTTCCAGATTTTCCTCTTCATCAACCCCTCTTTAAACTCTGATCTACTCGTCGTTCGACCTCTGATCGACGAGCCGAAACCACCATCGTGTTCGTTGTCAACCGAGGAACAAAACCCCTCAAACCTTTCGTCGTGAATTTCAGTCTGACGTATTGTCGGTAATAACTCGGTTTTAGTTAGTTTTTCATCGATTCACTAAGATCGGGTCATCTGTTTACGACACCTCCCGCACCATTGCGTTCCTTGTGCCGTTCCGAGTCCACCGGTGTCCTCCCTTTTCTCCGACGGTGGCGGCACGTGTGGAGGTGAAGCGGTCAAAGTTTCCGATTCGTTGAAATCGAGCTCTTCGCCATTCAAAAATTTGAACCGAGCTTTGTAAGTATCTCGAAATCGCTTAAAATAATTTTTAAGAATTGTTTCGGGAATTTTCCGATATCAGGGCACTATTGCGTGCCGCCACTGCGTGTGGGGAAGACAAAACTGACCGGTTTGACCGGTTTTGGTGCACAGTTGACCGGTTTGACCTGTCACAACCCGACCCTACCCGTTGACCCGACCCATTGACCCGACCCGATCCGTTTACCTGACCCGTTGACCCATTGACCGTTGACCGGCGTTGACCACTGTTGACCAAAACTTTGACGGGCTTTGACCGGGCATTAAACGACCTTTGTTTTTGACCGAGCATACCTATCCTGATATTTTTTGACGATCCAAATCCGATTCCGCAATCTGTTTTTCGAAATTCAGACCAGAAGGCCTCGAAATTGCCGATCAAACCCGTTGACTTTGATTTTGACCGAAAATTCCAAATTTCCGAAAAGTCATATTTTATGCTTTCGACGTCCTGAATCCGAATCCGAAGTCCGTTTTGCCAAATTCGAACCCGGTAAGCTGTCTTTCACTGATTTATCACCCGATTCGATTCGTTTATCGCAATTAAGCTTCGTTTCTGATATAATTTATGTTAATATGTATCTAAGGAATTATTGGAAGTTGAATTGAAGATCAAAGGCATTCGAATGGAATTTTTATGGTTGATCAGTATTGCACGGAAATCGAGGTAATACTTTACTACCTCTTTATGCTTTATAGAACATATTGGTATTGGTAAATTCATGAATGGAAATGTTTGATCTCGTATGTATAATTAATGAAGATCTATACTAGATACGAATACGGTAGAAAGTAGATAACTGAATATGGATCAGATTACTATTATAAGAAATTGGAGGACAGTTGGAATTAAATTGCAAGTTCTTGAATTAAGTGATAAAAGAATCAACCATGGATATGTAGATTATAATTTATCTCATTAAAGGTACTTAGATGAGAAATTATGAGAATATTTCGATTAGGTAAAATTATGAAATTACCCTTATGTTAGAAAATGACAAGAATTGTCCCTGGAAGTGGATTAATAAATCTGAAAAGAATTATTGATCTGCTAAAACTATTGATGTGCATAAGAAATGTTAGTTTTACTTGGAAATTATGGATAACCGATTTTTAACCCCAAGAAGGTTTATACTAGATATTATAAATCTTTTAAGGAATCATTTCAAGATCAAAGAATGTTCGAGGAAGCAATTAATCATAAGATCTCTATATTATATTATTTTCGTTAAGAGCTAATATCGAAATTATCTGGTTAAGAAATTACGAAAATGCCCTTGAGAGGTAAAATAGTCAGAGTTGACCCTGAAGGAGAAAGCACTTTGAGGATTTATACTTAACTCGATTAAGTACAAAGTTAATTATTAATATTCTGTCTTTGTAAAGAAAAATTCATAATATTGCGTTTGTAAAATCCGAGAAGGCACTTGACCCGAAATATCCGAGTTATGAGTAAATACCTGAAGAACAATTTATCAGAGGGTGCTCTTTTATCAGAATTGTTCGAACGGACTGGAATAGATGATAAATTGGAATTAAATAATAAGACCGGATGGAGGAAAATGATTGAAATACCGTGGATCTGTAAAATAACCAAATTACCCCTGTAATGGAAATGACCCAAGAATATCACCAAGCTTAAGAATGATGGGATATCCTTGAGCTCTGTTATGATTGGAATAAAACTGAAAACCAAAATGACCAAAATACCCTTATGGCCTATATTAAGTAAATGTCTTGGATTAATTAAGGAATCCAAGTAAGCATAGGTATTGGACTACCTTTAAAGGTAATGGAAAACAGTTTAAGTGAGTAGATCAACCCTAAAGCTATGTCAATGCCTGAATGGCATAGATATTACTGGAACATGTATTCGTCTTCTCAAGTTTGGCTCGATGATAAATTTTGGAAGTATTCAGCTCAGCTCTAGATCGTATTCAATACTAAGAATTGGACGTTTGTTCGACAAATCAACCACGAAGACCAAATTGAATGGAATGGAAGTACAACATGTATCTGAAATTCAGGAACGTTTGAATTACTCTGGAAAATCCTAAAGTAACTGGAATGGACATGACTGTTAAATGAACTAGGTAACCTCAATGAATGAGGATTTAATAAGTGATTTGGATAAGTCTGGAAACTCTGATGAGTTTACGTAGTGTACAATTACAATGGGTTATGAACAAATTAATCAAGTACGTCAGCATTCCATGATATTGTGGAAACGTGGAAATGAAATAAAGACATTGGAAGATTTATTCAGCGATGATTCCGAAAATGGTCTACGGACAAGAATTTGTGGTATTAAAGAGTAAATACCTTAGAAGGAAAATGAATTGACCAGTAGACATAGATTGTTAAGGTTTTGAATCTTTGTTCTCAAGTTGTTCGATTATCCGATCAATTGACATGGATGTATAGGATTCTGAATACCCTTCTGATTACATACAGCTTCTGAAAACTGTCCGAATAAGATAATATCCTGATAATTCACATTCTTAATAACTGATGATTCTGTCAGTTAATGAAATCTTCCAATAGTGATTCTAAATTCCAACATTCTATCGACATACTGAAGAACTGTGTTTCTCTACCTGATACAGTACCTCTAAATAATACCTGTAAACTCTGGTGTGTTCCCTACTCACATGAATATTTTATCTGATTTTCGATTTGAATTCTGATCTGATACTTGACATGGATTCTGATCTGATATCTGACATGGATTCTGATCTGATACTTGACTTGGATTCTGATCTGTTACTTGACCTGATTTCTGATATGATACTTGACCTGATTTATGTTTTGATTTTTGATATATCCGTTTACGGACGGAAAATGTTTTAATTGGGGGGTATTGTTGAAGGAAGAAGTTTTGCAGGTTCCTCGGCTTTGTGCTCAGGGCCTTATATGATGTGTTGGGTTGGGTGTATGGTTCTGGGGAACCTACACATTATGATGTGTTGGGATGGGGATATATATATATATATGTTTTAAAAGATTTGAAAAGTTACATGGTTTTTGGGGACACACTAGATAACCTATTCTGATCTCCTGAACTCAGTCATCCGAAATATTTGTCTGAACTGAAAGCTCATTGTCCGTTACCATCTGAAATATCAGTAGGATCTCTGCTCAGCATAAAAATCTATAAATGTTTGGAAATAATAAGGATATGTATGTTTATCTGTATATGCACGTTCTTCATCATCATCTGGTAGTTTTGTATTACTGAGCTTTTCGAAGCTCACTCTATTACTCACCTTTTCAGGTTAAAAGAATTGTACCAGTGCATCTATCGACTTCAGTAAGGGAGTTTTTCTGGCGTTGTTGTAGAGAATGGTACATGTGATTAGGGGGCATGTAATTGTATTTTGATTTATATACGAGTCTGGAAATCTGTTTTATTTTTAAATAGTGACAACTGATTTTATAAGTTACATGTTTCAATAAAAGTTTTAAATTTTCCGCTATTTTTACAGTAGGTCACTCCGGTGGCCCTAATGTGACTTCCCGAATCGAATCGGATCGGATCCTCCGCATCGGTCTGGAGGGTTACAATCAATCACCTAATAAATTAGCATTTCATTGATTTTAAAATCAAAATACAATAAAACAAGTTATTATTAAACCTAATTACACTAAGTGGTTTAATTAAGGAATTTTCTAATTTAGAGTGTCAAATTATGAAATTTAAATAACTTAAAGGACTAAATCTAAAAATATAGGCTCTAATATTAACCTAATTTAATTTAATCAATTAATTAATAGAATACTTGAAACACACTCTCGAGCATTAATGCCAGAGCTAAATCAAGATTCTCCTAAATTAAAGGACTAAAAGGTGAAATTAATCTAAAATGGATGTTCTAATTATTAATCCGAATTAATTATGTCAATCAAATAATCAATTTAGAACCTCGTACATTAATGTGAGGGCCTAATCGAATTACTGACATAATTTAAAAGTTTTAAGACTAAATCATAAAGAAACTAAATTTAAGGACTTAATTTAAAATCTAAGTATTTATTAGGAACTAAAACACACACAAAATAAACATCTAGGGATCAAAAAGAAATAAATAATTAATAGAAAAAGTAGTGACCAAATTAAAATAAAAAAAATAAAGCATCTAAATTAAAATAAATAAAAAATGATTTAGAGACGATAATGTAAAAACATGGTTAAAGTTCAATGGCATAAGCATAGTTTTATACTAAACTTTAAATAAATTAAAGAACAAAAAGAAGGAAAATTTAAGCAATCAATACATGAAATTTGAAATAAAATAAAAACAAACAAGATTAGGGATTATAACATAATTACGCGACAAAAGTATAAGGATATAAACGAAAGTAACCATAAAACTTTAATATAAAACTCTAATTTCATACTAACCCAATCCAAACTAACTCTAATCTTGAAAACCAAACCCACCTCTTTATTTCTTTTCTCTCACACTTCCCTCTTCTCCCTTTCGCTCTAGTCGTAGCCTAAGCCCAAAACTCTTCACGCCGACCACCTTATGCTGGGGCCTATACACCACTCCGACCCCCACTAGACATTGATCGAGGAAGTTGAGATGACTCCCAAATGAATCCAAAAGTCATTGTTTCCCCCTTCCTCTATATTTCCTCTTTGACCAAGAGTTTAGATAACCTAACTGCCACAAATTAGTACCTTTTCTCTCTCCGGCCATCCTTAACGGTGGTCGGGTTAACCCAAAACCTAAACAAGACCCTAAGCGGCCTCCCCTCTTCTCTACTCTCTAAATTAAATCATAAAAAAACTAAACCACACCCTAGACAACCTTAATTTAACCCTGATTGTTCGATTTCTCAACCCCGCCGATTTCACGTCTGACGACGACCTTTCAAATTTAGTGAGTAGCTGAACTGTCCAGGTAAATTGCTTTACCCTCTTTTGTTTTTTTACTCGTTTCAAATGATCGTTGGCTATGAAAAGGACTCTGGGTTTCCCTTGTTTTTAGTTATTGCTTGATTCAAAAAATAGGGGAGAAAATTTTGCACTACTCATATTTTTGTGTTGCATTGGAAAATAAAAATAGGAATAGATTTGTATTGATAACTTGTATTGAATAAAAAAAAATAGGAAAATTGAGTAACGTATATTGCGTTTTCTTGGAATCGAGTAAGAACCTTTGTACATCTTGATTTAGGTTTTTATAACCCAAAAATATATTTCAAAAAAATCCCCTAATACCCAATTTTACATTTGCTTTCACGTTTTTTGTTTTGCATGTATTCATTTGGTGAGTTGGAGGTTCATTGGGAAAATCTAGAAGAAAGAAAGGGGGCCTACTCTGTTGTTCTTCAGAGTAGGTCAGATCTGTAAATCAAATGATACAACTTATCAACGTAAACTTAAATTTGAAAATGCCATACCTAAAGGTCAATATTCAATAAATCTTTACAAATCAATTTCTCTTGTAGAAGTCAAGGTCTACTTTGATTATCATGACTCCTTCTATCTTGGTGGCTTGGAATGGATAACTTTTGTCTTAAAGTTTGTTATCATAAATCTTTAGCTTTCTCGAAAAACCTATACAATGATTTTCTTGAATGTATAATGGTTTTTATGTGAATAATGTTTTCATGAATGCGGTAATACGATTCATGCATATCCTTACTCCTTGGGGAGTGTCCTCATGAGAGGTGAAAAAGTCTAAATGAATGTGGTAATGTTAGTCATGCATATTCTTACTCCTTGGGAAGTGTCCTCATGAGAGGTGAAAGAGTCTAAATGAATGCGGTAATGAGATTCATGCATATTCTTACTCATTGGGGAGTGTCCTCATCAAAGGTGAAAAAGATTGAATGAATGCAGAATGCGTTTCATGTGGTAATGTTATTCATGACTATCTTTAATCTTTGGGGAATATCCTCATGAGAGGAAAAACAAATATTTCCTCTTTTTTATGCTTCAATGCAATGATGAGTTTTGAATGCTCATATGTAAATTCATATGAAATAATGTTGATGTATGCTTTTTTTATCAGTATACACAAATGTATGCTCAAGCAACCCTTGTTTTGTGTTGATTGAATATCCTTTGGTCATTTTCACACTAGAGTGCATCTTATCAATTCTTGGCTTATAGTAACTTGATCCCCTTGCCCCTAATAAAATAACCCCCAAGTTTCAATTTTCTTTGCCTCAGTTTCAGATTTTGAGTTATCAAGTTAGAGATACCATTGTCCAAATCCTATTTTGTTGTCAGTAGCAACTTGTCAAGTTGAGCTTCCATTTTCTGAAGAACATTTTGATCATCTGGTGTCGTCATGTCCTCTATTTATACTTCCTCATTTTAGAATCTTAAAAAAAGTGTTTTCTCGATTGATGAACCCTTAACTTGGATTTTTACTATGGGTTGATATAATCTCAAAACAAACCATGTTTTCTTTCTTAATAAGGAGAAATTTCTTATTAACTCTTCTGATTTTTCAAACATTATTGCTCGAAAATCAGAGAACATCTTCATTGCTCATGTATCACTTATGGTTTTTTTTAGGCATATAAAGCCTCATCAACTTCAAGGACCTTCTTTATTCATGAGAGATTGCCCTGTTTGAAATTGTTTTTCTCCTTTTTAATATTTAGAATTCAAAAGAATGAAATAATTTTATAAAAAAATGATACCCCTTGCTTCAGGCTCACAATTGAAACAAATCAACATTTCAATGAATATCGAGTAAGTCAAGAAATTTATTTTATTATTATTTCTAAAAATATAACCCTTTGAAAAGTATCAAGATCAATGGGTTGACCTCTTGGTTGGCCTTTTATTTTTCTAGGGGTTCAATCATCAAGATTTCATCATTTTCTCAATCCTTGTAAGCATCATGGCTTACCCCTCTATCTCGACTAAGGATTTCAATTGGGTGTAGAAAAATGATGCAACTAGCATATTTAATTGTTAGACCTTTTAGAACACTTCCATTTCAGTTCTCTGAAATCCTTTATTTGTTCATGCTTCATAAACTCATTTAGCAAAGGTAGTGCATAAATATCGGTCCAAAAACAAAATTCATGAGTACTTGTGTGAATTTGACAATAACAGGTGTTTTTTTAGCTCCCTTAGTCCATTTTCACCAATACTCCTTATTAATTCAAACTCTAGGAATTATTGCCTTTATTCCTTGAAAATTATCAACTTTAAATTTGTTTGCCTTTATTTGGAGTAGTTGAATGATTCATCTTATCACAAAGTCTTTGACATGACAACCATAATGGAGCATACACCAAATTGACAGGTATCCGATCAATGCCATGTTTTGAATGTAACTTATTCATAAAGCCAAGACTTTTGAGTTACCTATATAACCAGCTGGTTTAGCAGAATAGCTTTTCTTTATTGCATTTACTTTACGTTAATGCTTTATTGACCTAATGGGTATACTGATTCAATTTCATAAGCTCATCGAGAAGAACCAGTTATAGTTTGAGTGTCGTTGAAAGTCGGAAAATTTCATCCTTAGAGTTCAATTCCTAAGCAATTGACCTAAACTAAATTCATACTCAACTATTCCATTTGCAAAGATTATGCTCATCGTTGAACGTAGGAATGGTAGAACGACCCGAACCCGACGGGAAAACCTGAAATTCGGCTAAGTTCGAGTCGGGTCGGGTTTGAATAATATCGGGTCGGGTATCAGGTAAAATTCGAGGATTTTTTGGGTTCGGGTTCGGGGTAAGGTATCTTCGCCCCGATTATATATATATATATATATATATATATATATATATAATATTTTATATTTTTTATATTAATTATATAATATAAACCTTAAACCTTAAACATTTAAATCTTAAACCCTAAATACTAGCTTTTATAATTATTAAAGTGAAATTTGGTTTATTTTTTGATAAATTTCTCAATGTAGGGAGCTACCAAAGAAAGTTACAATAGTGGCACGACGATTTTGGATGACTTTATTTGACATAATATTACGTATGCATCTTCGTTGTATGATTTGAATATCGGAACAAGTTTGTATTTAATTATGTATGTGTTTTATTTTGGAGTTTAGACAATTATTTAGAATTGGGATTGAATTTGTGATTGTAGCTTGAATTGTAAATCATGTAGACTAATTTTCCATTCTATTTTTATGAAAACTACGGTTGCTCGGTTTTTTCTTAGGATCGGGTCGGGTTCGAGGACGGGGAAAAAAATTCCCGACAGGGCGTCTTGATAAAAAACCCGACAGGGAACGGGGTGGGATGGGGATTTATTTTGGGGACGGGGACGGAGGGAGCAAAACCCGCCCCGAACCCGCCATGTTGCTATTCCTAATTGAACGTCCTGAATACAAGTGTGGTCTAATTAGTTTTGAAATCTCCTACAAGAAAGTTGTTTCATTTTTAAACTCCTATACATACCTCATTGCATTGTGTTTGTATTATGTATCGTGGGAGGAGAAGGCTATCTTCAATCCTGCAAGGCAATGGATGTACCATTCGAGTATAATCTCTCAAGCATGATCAAAGTTATTATTTTACGAGGGTTCAATCTTACCACTTGTCAATAGCTATAAGAACATTTTATTATATTCATTGAAAATTTAAAATAAATTTGTTTTTGTGCTTATAAACTTATAAGGTAATATATGTTTGTTTAAACATCTTTGAAACATATAAGAAAGCTAAGAAATGACAAAAAAATTCAAACAAAACAAAATGTTCTTATGCGAAGTGTAACTATGTTTGATGGTGGATGGAATAATTCTTCTCGATTCTTATTAGAATTCCTCATTAATCACTAAAGGTCCATGCCTTATTATAACATATCATACCTGGTTACGCAAAACTCGGTTACCTAAGTGTATATTAGAACCCGAACTTTGTCAGACTGAACAGAAACCCTGAACATGTGTACTACGCAAAAAAATAAAATTTAAATCATATATCATGCATCATATGGCAGCGGATAACAACCAACAATTTAATAGTAATCAATGCAATGCAAGATGTACGTTATTAGCTAAGGAAGGTAATTCGATAAATTCACATCATGAAGTAATTCAACATAGAAATACTGAATTAAGTTTACTAATATTCATTATTAATCCCTAGTTAATGACATGCAAAATTTCATATTAACCGGACATCAACAAAGGACCTAATTGGATATGTTTCTCTAAGGACTAAAACGTAAACAATTCAAAAATCACATACAAACAACAACCATGCAATTGACACCTTCATTATGTAATAAAGTATATTTAAGTGTGACAACATAAGTCCAAGTTAAGGTCTGAAATTAATTAACAATTCAATTTATGAACCATTTTGAAATTATACAAACATCCTAGGGTCAAACAAAGACTTAGGGACACTTAGGACCTTCAATGAATGAAATTTTTCCATTTTTTTATCAAGCACACAACAAATGGATCAATCCTTTTTCACGGGGAATTGATCTTTTGAAAAATAGTGAGTTAGGGATCGATCTTTTGAAGAAAGAGATCGATCCTTTTTAGGAATGTATCAATCTTTTCCCCGAAGGGATTATTTTTTTTTGGAAAAGTACATAATTCTTAAGAATATGCATAAATAAACTACCAAACTTCCACATAATAATTCCTAGGGACTATTTACATGCTTGGACACCTTCATACCACACCAATCATGTCAGAATACACTTGTAGCATGCATGCCTTATAACACAACTCACAACATCATACAAGGATCTAGCATCAAAAGTCAAACATTGCATACAAGTTCACTTTTGGCACAAGTCACCTAGTCCAATTATGCATTTTGGGTCAAATCATGCATCCTATGAGTCTAACACATTTGGCACACTTAATGTCACTTGTCTAAGCAAGCTAAACATTTCATTAAGGCATAATTCAACATTTGACCAATTTGACATTCAAACTATACATGTATATAGATTCAACATCTTCAACAACAACATCAAATCATCAACATGCTTCACTGCAAATCTTAAGTACAAGCAACATGCCACATTTATTAAATTCAACCATCCAAAGTTCAACTAAGTTCCCAATGGTTCCACGTTGTCGTTTTATAAAAAAAAATCAACATACACTTTATTTAACAAATGCCTTTCTCGATCACACCGGATGCTTGCTCTTTGCCTTCGACTCAGCCACTAATCCTCTGAAAAAGTATTAAACATCGAGTGTGAGTTGAACGCCCAGTGAATAACTAACATTTAAAGTGATGCTCACATCAAAGCTAAAGGAAAACCTTATATGCATTCACTCCTCACTTATTTTTACCTCAATAATTATGCCTTCATGTCATGCTTTTATAATCATATGATGCATCATAGATGTACACAAAATCCATAATATACACAAGCTTCTCATTATCATGCAATTGGCAACAAAACACTTGCAAAATTACCTTTTTGAAAAAATCACACACACCAAACACACATGAAACACACATTTCCCCAATTAAGATCAATGGCCTTTTGTTCAAAACACAACTCACTCATTGGATAAACGAACTCAATACATCTCTCATTTATTTGTGGACTCATTTAGGTCCAAAATCACGTATTTTGGAGCAAAGCTCAAAGCACCAACTTTACCCCATAATCTTCTCGAAGTATAGCTCAACACATCAACCTTACCCCATATAACCCTTGTTCACAAATATATAGAAAACCATAGAGTACTTTTTCCTAGGCACATCTTTCATATACAAAGGTCACATTAAGAACAAATAGCCATTTAATCCAAGTTCACAAGAGTGGTTGCCAAATGATGCATCAATTATACACATATACACTTTCAAAGTACACTTTAAAACACTTATCGTTATATGGACAACAAGTTTCTCACTCATACATAGATAGTGAATTTGTTCCACTCATCCTTAACACATTCATATATACACATTTTGAAAAATACACTTTCAAAACCACTATGCATCACTTGCCACACATATTCAATACACATGCCAATATTCACATTTCATATCACAATTCATATCAATTATGTGAATCAAAATAAGATCATTTATACTAGAGTTCAACTAAGAGAAGTTCCCTAAGCTACACATTCTTTTACCCTTGAACACGTTTATCCTCTAAGAATGAAAGTAATTCACATTTATTGTCCACTAACCGAAATTGCTTTCAAACACTTAGTAACTGGTCACTAAAACATGATGCACCAAATTTCCTCAATTATCAACACATTAAACACCTTGGAAAGCAAAAGAAAACATCTAGAATAGAGCAGAATTTTTTTATTCCAAAACAAAGTTAAAAGACCAAAATTATCGAAAATGTTACCAAAACAACTCTCCAAGCTTATGATCCAAACGAAAATACTTATCCTCAATGGAAACTGATCAAGAAAAACTAATATCAACAACTAAACTCATCTAGAAACATCACAATTAACAACAATCAACTCTAATTCTAGGACTTCCATAAAATGACAAGATCAAGCTTGTTTTAAAGAATTTCTTATCAACATCTAGAAACCACTTTGTTTCTTTTCTCTCAAACCTCCTCCCTTTCTCTCTTTTCGCACGCCTAAACCTAGGGTTGAGCAACGAAATCGAGAAAATCGAAAATCAGACACGAACTAAGTAAAACGGTTCGGTTTGGATTCACCTTTTACAGTTCGATTTCTGGTTGATTTAGACACTCAATTTTCTTAATTCGATTCGGTTCAGATTTTTCATATGAAACCCACTTGTTCCATATTAAACCGAATAAATAAGTTTGAACTTCAAACTAATGTCCAGCCGGTTACCCATTTACCCCTAATGGCCTAATATTTAGCCTAATTAAAATAAATACAAAAATATTTTTGGTTTATCAAAAACCTAGAACTGAAAAATTCGATTTCACATATTTCAGTTTTTATACAATTTGATTTCAGTTTCAGTTTCGGTTTTAAATTTCAAAAATCATTTATTACGGTTTGATTCAACTTTTATTAAAAAGAGAAAATCGCCTCAGTGACCAAAAAAAAGTTATAATATACGATTTTAACCAACTTTTTTTGGATTTGCCAAAATGACCAACAAAATCGCAACGCGAAATAAAAATCGCAACGCGATCCCCAGAATCGCAAATCAGTTTCCAGAATCGCAAATCAGTTTCCAAAATCGCAACGCGATTCTTGAAAATCGCGATGCGATAGTACAAATTCGCATTGCGATTTTCCAAAATCGCAACGCGAATATGAAAATCGCAACGCGAACACATAAATCGCAACGCGTATCCGTAAATCGCAACGTGTATCCGTAAATCGCAACGCGTATGGGTAAATCGCAATGCGTATCCGTATATCGCAACGCGTATCCGTAAATCGCAACGATAATACATAAAATCGCAACGCGTATCCGTAAATCGCAACGCGATATTTAAAGCGCCATTATAATCGCTACGCGTATTTTATTTTCAAATTACAAAAAGAATATTAAGACAAAATCCCGTAATCGCAACTCATAACCTAAAACCTAAAATCACAACTCAGTCCCATCTCCATCTCTCACTCTCTACGGCGAAGAAATCCGTCCCCATCTCCGAAGATTTCCGTCCCCATCTCCGGCGAAATCCCTCACAACCATTCACGGTCAGAAATCCCTCACAATATTCAGAAATGGAAAATCAACCTCCGAGGGTTAGTTTTTTAATTATTTTTATTTTGAAATGTTTGCATTATTGTAGGTTTTTCATATTGAAACTGATGATAAGTTTACTGGTCATTTCAATAATAGATTAACCATTTCACTTAGATTTCATTTCGCGTTACGATTCTGTCGTTGCGATTTTCATTTCGCGTTGCTATTCTCTCGTTGCGATTTTCAAGTTAGTATTTGTCTTTGTCTTTGTTCTGTCTTTTGGTTGAAGTAATGCAATCCATTCAAGTTTCAATTTGCAGAAGAGTCGCAACGAGATAAATGAAAATCGCAACGAGAGAATGACTGTCGCAACGAGAGAATCGCAACGCGAAATGGAAATCGCAACGAGAGAATCGCAACGCGAAACCAAAATCGCATTGCGATTTTCATTTCGCGTTGCGATTCTCTCGTTGCGATTTTCATTTCGCGTTGCGATTCTCTCGTTGCGATTGTCATCTCGCGTTGCGATTCTCTCGTTGC